AGAACAATTATGGTTCTCAACCAAAGCCTTTGACACAAAACCTTATAGCAAGGCAGCTGGGTTTTGGCACTGTGCTACACAGAGTCCGTTTTATGGAGCCACCGTCACTCCAACCCCCAACCTGGAGGACCAGGAAACTGAGTTTGTCAAGCCTCTAACCATTGTCGAATCTGGTATGGGTGGCTTTGAAGGTGCAAAAGCACCATCCAACATAGCCCAATGGATCGCTGAGATACGCAAACCATCGCAACGCGTTAAGGTCCAGTCTCGTCGCGATGGAGGAATAGACATTGAGTTATTTGAAACCATGGAATCGGGAACCAAAAATTAATGAGATGTACAACGCTTGTTAAAAAAATAAAGACAATCATTTTTCTTTTTCATATGCCATTTTTAACTTTTTTTATCCGGTTTGGCGCCATTGGTTCGTGTGCCGTAAACCGCTGATATTCTTTAACATTGGGTCTGCAACCAGAAGACGTGCGAGTTCAGTGATTTCATGCTTTGTAGCGAAGTGTACTGGCCTCCATATGACCTCTCCCAAGGCGGCCCTGCTAGTGCAAATAGAGCAGAGCCTGTTAAACACTCGTTTGGCACGCGTTTGACGTGACCAACTCGTCACAATCAGCGCAGCAGAACATGCTCACAGAGAGGAAGAGACCCGTCTTGCCAAAGATGCGGTGTATGACAATCATCGCGAACTCGGTGTTGCCACTTGACGCGGGCGATCCTCCTCGAACAGCCATTGTCACAGGCAGAAAGCCAGTACATGTCCTCTAACCAATCGGTCAGGATTCGCATCGATACAACAGTACCGCGTGAACGCTGGTATTGTAAACTTTGCCTTTTAACGCGAGCTAAATGTGACGACGACGCCAATACGGCCTCAGGTTAGCAAAATCTGATCGGGCTTCTGCGATACGAAGGAATATCTGTTGTAGTTTCCGCCGAATTACGGATAACCTGCTGCTACCGCGCAGCTGACTGTCGCCAGAAATTTGTTGTGGTTTCCGCTGATTTTACGGAAAACCTGCCAGAATCTGCTGTGCTGCACCCAACCAGTTCAGCCTGCAACGTAATGACAACATGAAGATAGGCCGAACTGAAAATGCTCCATTGTATGACAGTATAGCGCAACAAATAGATTGAAGGCAATTGCTAAACACAACAATATCGGAGATGCTAATTAATATCAATTAACACAACCCAAACGGTTCAAGTGCAGGGTTCGACATGTCGCTGACACCACATAGATCCGCATTTTGATCTCTGCTCGAGTTCGATCTCTAACTGTAGACCGACCCAATCTTGCTCCACGGTTCTCGGCTTGTACACTGCTCTTCGTAACAATATCTTCTCTCCAATAGTTCCTTCGGCAGAGACGCAGCTCTCTAAATAGACATGACTATCCACGTGTTCTATCTGTATGCCTACGATGGTGAGCTGAGGAAAGTGCGATTGCCAATCCTGTAAAAGCACTTTTCACTTGAAGGAGGCAAAGCACATACCACACCTAGACGCTACAACCACCAGTTGGTCGCGGATCAATTGCATACCCAGCAAGGCGATATCATCAGCGTAATTTAAGTCGCTTGCGCGATCACCTGGATGGAGCTCGATGCCAAAACTGTAGTCGTTCTATTCCCTAAAGTTGAAGAGGAATGGAGATATACGGCATCTTTGTCGCACATATAAAGCACATACAGCTTGCCTCAGGCTCTCATCCTGCCTAAAGTATAGAGATATAGCACTTGTAGTATAGCGACGTACCTTTCGGGGAGCCTATTCTTTAGCAGGCATTGCCGTAAAGCAGGTTTTCTGTTGATTTGAGTGCAACCCTAATGTCTAAGAGGACAACAAAGATGGGTCTGCGGTAGGGATGACGATGCTTGAGGAGCTGACGAAGGGTGAATATTTGACCCAAACATCCCCGACCGAGGCGAAAACCATCCTGCTTCTCCCGTTAGTGGGTTTTATGCCCCCAGGTTAGTCTGCGGAGCATGATTGATGCTAGTATCTTAGAGGCAACTGAGATTAGACTGCTCCCTCTGTGATTAGCGCGAGAAGCACGAGGACCTTTCTTGAAGATCGTGACAATAATTATAGGGATGTTAGTCGATTGGCAACCGTTGTGCCACCGTATTTGAACATTTTGGGGGGAAGCTCGTCTGAGCACACAGCTTTAAAGTACTTCAGGTGCCAGATTTCAAGATAAACGTAATTGCGCTGCAATTAAGCAAAACTCGGTACATGCGACTTTCCAACCACCACTACTAGTCCAATCAGAACTATTCTGGGTGGTCGTCCTTCTATCCCTGTATCAGTCCTCGTCCTGTCACTCGGTTTAATTGAAACTCTTGTTTCACACTAACTGGATGCTAGAATGTTTTTGCTTTTATCACCGTAAGTGTGACATGCGAGAGTCAACCTTCGCTGTTGTTGTGATCTTGCTGGGTTTCCCACAAACTCTTAACTATGCGCCGATGTACGCCAGTACACGCGATACTGGTCAAGTAGAATGCATTGTTGAGGTGAACACCACACTGGACATAAAGTAGGAGTGGTTACGGAACACCTCGAACCTCCCGCCATGTGCTCCACCCTACTTACCGTTGGATCACGATTATGTTCGCTCAAAAATCCCAGATTGCATGCTGTGTTGTCTTTTCGACTGGGTCCTGGTTGTATAGCCGGCTTATTGTCCGCCTATATGTCCATCCAAGTGAGGTACACAGGTGCAGTCCCGTATAATTGCTATACGATAGGGGAGTTTCAAAGCGAGGCTATGACACTGCCACTGGCCTCCCCCTCGATGTTCGCCAGTGAGTGGTTGGCATTCAATCATCCACTGCACATGACTGAGGTACTCACATGTCCTCCGTTGTCTCTGTTGCTGTCACTCTCAGCCATGTCCGATGTGCTTGTTCAATAAATAAATCAACGTTTCATTGTGGACAACGCGAGGCACACATTTGCAGCCATGATCATGTCAAGGGTGGTCAGAAATGTATAAAAACAAGTTTTATATAACAGGGAATGTATGTGTATGGGTGTATATACGTATGTCTTTTTAAGCTGGATAAATTTCATTCTAATTTATTTGATTTGTTCCGCCTACTTGAATAATCTATTAATTGGGCACGTTGCTTACGGTAATTGTGCTTATCTTCGTTAACTTTATTGCGTTTGTGGCATTTTCTGAGTCACTTCCGGACATTATTTACTTGTCGCGGATTCGTTGCTAACCAACATACTTCATATGTTAATTTAGGGAAGAGTTATGTCTGCATAGCCGTATTCTTTAACAGATATATTTTATTTGTTACTGTCATTTCGAGTGAATGGCTGTTGTTTGACATCCCCGGTGTGGCTGCGCTTGATGTGCATGTTGACAAGGTGTCTACCTGTCTATTACCCACTACCTCGTCCATCTGGCTCCAGGAGACAGTTGGTCGTTGCTGGAGGGGACGGGGTGCACGGTCCTTGTGGTCGTGCTAGGCTCGAAGAGTGGTTCCATGCAGTCAGTGTGGAGCGGACTACGGTCCAGCCACCGCCTTGTGTGCACTTGATTCTCCAAATTGTGTTTGCCTGTGCAGGAGTGTGAGCTGGCTCCGTTGATGAAACGTGGCTCCCATCCACATGCCTCCCGGTCTTATTCCTTCGGGTTTACACTGGATATGGGGTGTGTGGATGGAGCTGTGGGTGGTGCAGCGCAAGCCACCTATATTCCCTCTATAGGCGCAGGCGTCCTGTGGCTGGCCACAGTGACAGGCAAATCCGGAACCGGATGCCGCCAACCAATTGTTATGTATGTTGCTGGGTAGCTTGTGCTTGTGTGTTGCTGTATTTTTGACTGTAAGTATGTGAGTATGAACGAATGATGTCCATGGGTTGGATAGCATTATCCGGATGTCCACGGGGCAGTGACTAGTTTTTGGCGAGTCACATCCGCCACGTTACAATGTTGTTAAACGGACATATGTAGCTTTTTATAGGGAGGTAAAACAAATGTGATTCCGACCCGCATGCCTCCCGAACTTGTTCTTCCTAATCGAAACAGAGTATGGGACGTAGGTAGCAATGGCGTCTCGTGTTCGCGAATGACCACAGTGCTAGACGCCTTTGAAAAGATAATCAACAAACCAAGAACGATCAAATAAGTCAACGTATATATATGCTACTCAGAATGATAGCGAAACGCAAGCGCGCTTTTTCCGGTCGAAGCCTTAGTGAGATGCCGAGTGATTCTACACTATATGATACCATGCTCATACGTGCTTCATGTGGTCAAACGGTTATTGGTATATATCACGCTGATTTCCCAACATTCCTGTTAGCAATGCACCTACCTGCATCTCAGATGTTCGATATAAGTATGTAGCTCTCGCTCAGCGTACTTACAAAAACCACCGAGAGCTTTACTGTCTCAATATACGCACAGACCCATTTGCTTCAGCATGAAGTGTGAGAGAATTTCATTTAACCCTTCCCAATCTGATGTCACACTACAGTGCCCAGCCTGAATCACAAAACCCTGCCAACATCGTTTCCGGAACACATTCCGGGGAGCCTAGCTATAAGTGTTCCTGAACTGACTGAGTCAGTGGTTCGGCACTGTGTGGTTCCGTTAGACAACGACCTGTGCGTGTTCTTATTTGCTGTCTTTTGCGATTGAAGGCGGGCGTTTGCGCATGCAACTCGACTCCAAAACCAACCCTACCTTGATAAAACGCATTGATTACTTGCTATCCGTCATTCATTTAACTCACTTCCTACTGTCTCACTTTTACTACCTTGATATTTTTAAGTGCCCAATCGGGCCCACCTACAATGTGGGTGACCCTACTTGTAGGGTTCAGCTACAGTGAGCATTTTCAAGACTGCATGGAGCAATCAGCACTAATTACCGCGATCCGAATCAACCAGGTGTCACTTATAACGAATTCAAACACAATCGAATCGCGACAGTCTTTACGAGACATTCCGTTTACTCGTTTCAGGATTGCCAAATAAGCTTACTCAAGGGAGTCGTGCTGAGTACTTTGTTTCTATTATCCGCCAGACACTATGACGTTGAAAAGGATGTTTGGTTAACTCCGAAAGGCGAAGTTTCCACTCAAATTTTGAAGATCGCCACGGGAATTGACAAGTTCTACGAAGAACATACTAAATACTGCAGGTGGGTCTTAACCGTCTAATTCCCACATCATCTTCACTAAGTCCATTGACTCCGCCATTATCTTTTCCACATCATCGCTACTATCCAAGCTACGAAGGTCAGTCAATAAATAAGGTGAATTTTTCGGTATAAGGACTTCTAATACAGATAGAAGCTTACTTTTTGTTTATTTTTGTTGTTTTACTTCTTTTTCACATGGATGTAATTTCTTTTGCAGATTGAAAAAAAACTGAGAGTTGTAGCGATTAACAAAGATGACCGACCAAAAAGTATGCTCCAGGATGGAACAGCGGTCAGTTATCAAGTTTTTGGTTGCTGAAGAGTGCAGACCAGTTGAAATTCGTAGGAGAATGTCAACTGTGTATGGTGCCACATGTTTCAGCCGAAAAAATGTCTACAAGTGGGCAAAATTGTTTAAAGAAGGACGGAGCAGTGTTGAGGATGAAGACAGGTGTGGGAGGCCTACAGAAGTGAGGTCTCCTGAGGTGATCGAATCAGTCAATGACTTCATTCAGTCGGACAGAAGGGTGACAGTGGATGACATTGCAAGGACTTTGAGCTTATCTGTTGGGGCGGCACACAAAATTGTCCACGTCATCCACTGTCACCCTTCTGTCCGACTGAATGAGGTCATTGACTGATTTGATCACCTCAGGAGACCTCACTTCTGTAGGCCTGTCTTCATCCTCAACACTGCTCCGTCCTTCTTAAAACAATTTTGCCCAGTTGTAGACATTTTTCGGCTGAAACATGTGGCACCATACACAGTTGACATTCTCCTATGAATTTCAACTGGTTTGCAATCTTCAGCAACCAAAAATTTGATAACTGACCGCTGTTCAATCTTGGAGCATGCTTTTTGGTTGCCATCTTTGTTAATCGCTACAACCCTCAAAGTTTTTTTTCAATCTGCAAAAGAAATTACATCCATGTGAAAAAGAAGTAAAACAACAAAAATAAACAAAAGTAAGCTTCTATCTGTATTAGAAGTCCTTACACCGAAGAATTCACCTTATTTATTGAATGACCCTCGTACTTCCAAGTAGCAATGTTATGCCGCCGAGCTATTACCTGGATTCCCTGCGCCAAAATCACATATCATCGCCGTAACTTTTATGACTGCCCATCCTCACCGACTTCTTACCGCGAATGCAAATCGGCCGGTGGCCGAGTGGTCTGCACTCCTGACTTGCAGTCATAAGATCACCGATTCGAATCCGCGTAGGGGCAAACGTCCTCGCGGTACATTTAGTCCACGCGCGGCAACGAAGCGCCTTTATGGCGTACAGCTGACGGTTTAGGGTATACCGCATAAACATGTTGTGGGTGCGATTTTCAGTCCAGGTACTCTGGAGAGTAGGAACATAGGTATGTTGAGTAAGCAGCACGAAAACATTTTTGCCCCGGATGGGATCATCCGTACTTCAAGTAAACAGTAGCTTGAATCGAAACTGCACGCCGCAATCCAAACCCAACGGACTGAATTCGCCACCCAGTTTCCTAATAGCACCGCATGGATAAACGAGTGGTTTTCAACTCATTTGTGGTCCCACTAGAACTAGACCCCGATGACCGTTGGTAACGCTTGTCATAATGGCGTCATTGCTCCCTTGCACATGTCAGCACAAAGCTGATCGGCAATAACAATCCAGCGGACTACGTTGTTAGCGATGCATAATGAGACAGCAAAATATGCAGGTGTACTCATAAGCAAAATTACAACACGAACTTATTCATTGTGTAATCTCATTTGTCATCGGTGTCATACAAGTATTGTTTCCTCTTTTCAGGGACTTCAATGACCTAGTTGCACAAGACCCAAATCTAGTAGCGTTGATGCAGACGCTATGTCTCTTTACTCCGGATCGTCCAGCGCTCGATGCCCGCCAAATGGTTAGTGACATTGCTGATTATTCAAACAAAACAGGTAGCAAAAAAATGCGGGCTGCGTCTTAGACACATATGGTAGCCTCATTACATATGTCAGTTTCGCTCCCATTTCTGACCGTAGTGTTTTAGGGAAATAGCAAAAAATGCAGAACCGTGTTCAAAGTAACTGAAAACGTGGTAAGAGCATAACGATTGTCATGCTTTCGTCTGACTGATGGTTCATCTTTTTTTTACAGATCGCGAATGTGCACGATCGCTATTACTTGCTGCTGAAGCACTACCTGGAAGCAAAGGCCGGATTTGCAAACGGACGTCGGCTTCTGGCTGCTGTGCTGACGAACTTGGGACAACTTGAGGCGCTAACCATGAACTATGGGCACATGTTAATGCAGCTGGATCCTACGAAAGTTGATCCACTACTAATGGAAATATTTAACCTAACTCCCCCGTCTTTCAAACCTGGTGAAACAGACGTGATATTTTAGACTATATTTTGAAAATTTGTACATTTTTGTAATTTTAGGAAGATGTACAGTTTTTGAATGCGCAGCACAATGTGATATGGTGGTCAAACTCCTCTCTGAGCCAATTTACACACATCTTCCAGGGATATTCGCTTGATGAGCCGCCCCATGCATAGGCCCTGAAATGAAATGTTAATCGTAAGTTGATTACAGAGAAATCGCATAGGAACAGAGCATCAGGTTCACGAACGTTTAAGCATATGTTTGGCGTAACTAACCGTGGCAATCGTGATGCTACAAATCCCCTGTTCTTTGTCAACCTCTTCTAGAGTGGCATATTCTCCACGGTAAGCGCCGTTAACAACCAGCAGTGTCGACGATGTAGGTGGAATAACAGTTTGTACGTGATCTTGATCAACCTTTATCCTGGTGCCGTCCTTCAGAACGCGGACAATGGCCTGGAATGCAGGGCACATAATTTGGGACTGATCACAAGAGAAATTGATTTTAATCATCCGAAGGATGTAAGGTCATTTGTGGACAGATGAGGGCACAACCTTGCGACTGCACAATCAACGTTAACTGCTGCCCCGAGACTACAGCAGAGAACCAGTGCCGTAGCTTGGCTATCTGAATCAGCTATGAATTGATCTTTGTGTAATAAATAACTGGGCGGGTAATTAGATGCGACAGGAACCGTTAAAGCTGTGGAGAATTAAAAACACGTTTACTGAAGAGATCGATATAGCTAAAGTAACTCAATGAAACAGATATCAAATGGACCTTGATGGTTCATACGCCTCTGATTCACTCACGTAATTATTTTCGGAGCCATTAGTGAAAGACTAATTAATGGACTGGACTCTAGGTAAGGCCTGCGGTTAGTTTCTTTTAGACTGCGTAGTGGGAGCAACAGCGCGTGCATTATAATTTTAGTTCAAAAAAAGTGCAGTGAATGCTGTTATGTCGTACGACGTCCAGAGCATACTCGCTGTTGTGCGTTCTATCCCTGAAGGTAGTGTCCACTCAACAAAGTGGAAATCTGACGAAATTCACATGGGGCTGATTGCGATGCAGTATGCGACTCGATCGAAAAGCACACTGAATGCCGGGGAATCTGTGACAGACCTTAGGACTCCTGAGTTATGATTCCAAGATGGGCCTGAGGCGACGCACTGGCTCATCAAGAATGACTTCGTTTATCCCTGACAGTTTTTTCGACTAGATAGCATCGGTGGAATGACATTTATCTGAAATACACCGTAGCTTGCACATTTTCTGAGTTGGAAATTCTGATTCAAATGTTAGAAGTTAACAACGGATAGATCAGGTTTTGTTTGTCAAATCCGGGGCGGCGTGTGGTTTGGGAGGACAAACGCTGAACTGGCAGTCGGGAATTGAACCACTAATGGTTGAACCGGATCCTATTGGACCGTCTAGGTGTTAGACGGAAGAGACAAGTGACCGTAAGCAGTAGCGCCAGTCGCTTAGCGACCACGCCTCCGCAATTCAGACAATAGTGCTGTCTCAAAACATATGCAAACCCTCCATCGCAACCCAGCTACAAGTTTACACTCCAGGTTCCTAACAAGGAAAAACATTTGAATGGAGTATCGATTGGCACAAGTTCTGTCGGATTTCAGGGTTCTTTACAAGCTGCTAATAACATCAGCTTGAGGGTCGTTAGGGATCAGAGTTTTGTTGGCAAATGTCACTTCACTCCTAATTGAGAGAACAAACGATACGAACCGCCAGGCATCAAAATATTACTAAAGAGCGGTCGTCGATAAAAAAAACGGCGATCGACCATCCGGGAGAATAACCTACGTGGCAACAACACCTAGAGTGAACTCGTGGTTTCATGTACCAATCAAATACATTACCCGCAGTTAGGAACAATGAAGATTCTATATGGGCTGTTGGTTGGTGCCAATCGCATTACTGTGCACGCGGTTTATACCAGCAGACCATAGGTCGCCATAGTCGCAACTACAAATAACGGCAGAAGGGGGACAGCAAAAAAGCAAATTGAGAGAAGAAAGAGATGTATCACAATGAAGGAAGCAAATGGAAGAGAGGCGCTTTTCATCAACTTGTTAAGCAGTGTTTGCATGGCAATCGTGCTCGACCTCGGGAGTTCCATTACGCTAGCGTCCAGGGTAGCCCTTCGTAAATCCACTGGCAATCACACCCCTAAGTGGCTTCAAGAATAGCAGTGTAGAGTTTAAAGGGAGTCTTGCCGTAAGCTGCATGGTCAGTCGATTTCGAGCACCCACAAGCTAAAAAGTACAGCCATGGTAGACTGCTAGTATCTGAGGTATTTGCAGCGTAGGTGAGTGGCTCAGATCTAGCGACAAGTATGTGCGATACCTGCAGTTGTTGTTCAATGGGCAGAAATATGGAAGCCTGTAGCTAATAGCTACAGACTCACGTCGCACATAAGTAGTGGCCCATCACCATTATCCATCCGGAGTGAAAAGTCGTCTTAGAAGCCGTCGGATCTGACAGCCAGGCTGAACCAAGAGCAACCACAATGCCTGCCCCTTACACTGGTGGGACAATGGTCCGTGCCGAGATCGCTAGTGTGTGCGAGAATGCGCGTACCAGATTATCAAACTTCAGCTAATGAAACAAGTCCAGTAGCATAGGTTTGTTATGTTAAGTTGGACGGCGCTAATGCAACGGGTCGGTGTCATGGAGAAGATGAAGTAGGCGATCTCCGTCAGCGGAACTCCAACAAAATGGTAGCAAATGAAATACTACAACACTGCTGTGTGGATTTTTCAGAAACAGCTCATTACTTGATCTAACATAGCGGATGTTTAATGATCACATATAAATTGGTGCTCTGGTTTTGGAACGAGCTGCTTTCTTTGCTAGTGTGGTGAATAAAATCTGAAACAGATCTTTAGTTGGAGAGACTGAGACAAACCTGTGAATGACGGGGAACAATCGTCAGAGACAAAAGTGACATGGCATTCCATTGTCAAAAGACTGGACCATGACGTGCCGCGACAATTCGCATACTTCTTTGAAGTGGTCGCCATTCACTTGATTTAACGGTTGGCTATTGATCGGAACTCGAGGTCACTGCCTCCCCACAAGAAAAAGATCCGTTCGGACGAGCAAAGAGGAAGCGAGGTGTATTGGCTAATCACACCATCCAATATCAGTCAAACGGAACACTAGTAAACGGTATATGAAGCTCATGTGGTAACATCTAGAAGGGTCAAGTTACGACCAAACAAGCAATGCCGCTCTCGTGCTGATTGGCCGGTTTACCCAATTGGCTACATGCCCGTCCAATCTATGTGGGATAGTGACGGCTCACTGGACATGCTTCGGCTCCGTATCGGCGATTTCAGCGTTGGGTTGACCTGCATGGGTGATACGAATTTGCGCTTTGGGCTGTCAAGTTTCGGAGTGAATCAGGTTGGTGTGTTGAGGAGTTTCCGGTACACCTGCGTTGACCAGTATGTCCAGAGGTAACTACATTGCTGGCATTTGCTGTTGCGGTTGACGGTCAGTCTCTGGCTTTAACAGCTGATTCGCATCTCTCACACAAATTGCTGTCCCCACGTGGACACCACAGATCACGTTATCGCGTTTGTATCGCACAAAGAACATGGCCCATTTGGGATAGTGGCTAAGGTAGTTCAGTATAACAACTATGATCCGGTCACGGAAGTGCGGCGGATTCAATTGCCACGACTCACACCGTAAGAGTAACAATAAATAACAACAGTGGGTTTGGTTGCGAATAGAATGTAAAGAAAATGCGTTAGACTAATCAGAATGGAGCGAAAATTAACAACTAGATGAAAGAAACCGAATGCAGGAACCCCACTGACTTCGTGACTGCGTCATGTCCGACACGCTCTCCAACCATCGGTATGGACTCTCACGAGGCCCCCATCCAGCCTGACCAAGTCTCTCAGTCAAATTTTTAATGACTCTGCCACGTCACCGACTGGCCACCTCTAGGTTTCGCCCAACACGGTGCGGCCACGGCGTATAATGAACGCCGAGGAAGTAGATCACCAGGCAAACAGAGAACATGGCCTAGCCAACCCAAGCGACTAAGATATAAGAAACATTCGTGTGAGGAACCAGAAAGCTTTTGACAAAAGCCAACTGGTGGACCTCAGCATTGCTCACCCGGTGTTCCCACAAGAGGTGGGCAATACTCCGCAAGCACCGGTGGTCAAATCCGGCCACGCGGTTAATGTCTTCAATGCAAACTGGCCAGAACTCTGATCCATCCAGTAACACAAGCCTTGTCAATGAACAATGATTTATAACGGGTAAAAAAGCAGGTGCTTGACATGTCCCGTAGGGTGTTTAGAGTGACAAAAAAGGTAGCGAAGGAACAATGGTGTCGTCAGTTCGGGCGCTTACAGATGTTACTGCACTGTCGTATAAAGGGAGTTTGAAATGAGAATGTACGCACACAAAGCAATAAGGGGAGTGGTTATTGACCACACAATAGGCGAGAAAAATAAAAAAGATAGCAAGGACAACGCTTACTCGTGTGTAACTATCTTGGGTCGACAGAATACAGAAATCCAGTTTCTATAGTAGTAGCGTTTATCAAATTTCGTGCAAGGCGTTTGGAGTGACTCATTCTCGAGTAGGGTTATGGCACTATCCCCTGTCTGTTGTGCATTAGTGGTCACGAGCTATAGCACGTAGTGTAAATGTGACAGCGTTATACACCCTAGCTTTCACCGATAAGCTGATATCCCGCCGTCTCCACAGATAGTTGAGCCATTGGAAAGCCGCACGTGCTTTGCTGATACGTGAAGTAACCAGTTTAGTGCTGTGACCACCAGAGGTGACACAGATACCAAGGTAAGTGAGCTGATTCATCACTTCCAGTGGCTGTTCGGAAATAGCTAAAACCGGAGGTGTGTCGGCCCAGTCCTGCAAAGTACATACCGAAGCGTGCAGCGTTATGCACAAGTCTGTGAAGTAGTGTTTGCATAGCCGATGTACCAGACCAAAGAATAGCTATGTCGTCCGCATACTCCAGGTTTGTCAGTCGGTCACCTGTCAGAACTTCAATTTCATAATAGTCCGAAAGAACCGAGTGATTCATGATCATTTCGGTCACAAAGTTGAAGAGGAAAGAAGATATAGGACAACCTTGGTGAACCCCACTTGTCGTGGGAAACTCAGGAGATAGTTTCCCGTAGACCCTTACACGGTCTAGGGAATCACGGTAGACAGACTTCGGAATGGAAAGGAGTTTAGCCAGCCCGCCCTTCATGGATAGACAGTGACACAAGCAGTCCCGAACAACAGAGACGAAAGCGGCTTTCAAGTCAAGGAGAATTACCATAGTCGGTCGTCTGTATGCGTGTCTCTGCACTAAGAGTAAATATGTGGTCGATGCAATCACGGACAGGGTGGAAACCAGCCTGGTTTTCAGTGTATCGGTTCTCACGAGGACCAGTAA